AAATCATCTTGATTCCTGTCTGCAAAATATTACGGACGAATAATTACTTCCGCCCCGTGTGCCCCAGTGTTTCATTCTCAATAAAAAGTGCAGGCAACTCGAAAGTGATTTACTAATGGCATTATTTCCCGACTGCAGCTATCTTCTGATAAAGTTACCAACCAAATTTGCTTCTTCCAGAATCGCTAAAAGATCAGTTGAAAGCGGAATGCACCAGTTATTGATTTATCTCTCAAAGACGAATTTTTTCGGTTTTGAATTCGTAGCACTAATTCAGCGTGAAAGAAAAGAAGTCATCCTTTGACACCATGTGCTGAAAGTTTCTCATCGAATCCAATTGACTGAGATAGGCTCAGCGGCAGACTGGAACAATTATGCAAGGATACAAACGCAGTTGACGAAAAATATGATTTTAGCAGGAAATTCGGAAAAAATGGACAAATAGCATACGGCATTTTCATCCTCTGCATTTGCACCATTTTCGAGCAAAATTTTGACAATCTTTTCGTGACCACCAGCAGCTGCCATATGTAGTGTTGTTGCTTCCATTGTTTTTGTTTTTGCCTACAAATTACTCGCTACTAAAACCCTGTGAATGATAAAATATGCAGTTGACATGGATAGGGCTTTATCTTGCGAATAAATGTGAACCCACAGAGGATCGAACCATTCGTATTCGATCAGGACATGACGTGCTACACCGCTTCATCATCAGCCTGGCGGCTCATTTACTGTTTATCTTCCATAGAGGCCTGCCATCCTCCCGAAGTTGATCTGAGAAAATGAGCGTTGCAGTGTGGAAAAATCCAAAATTCAGAAGAATTCACCTGAATCACCATCGCCTTATCAATCATCATGAGTTCCTTGACCACTGCCAGTGATCCTTTCATTGCAGCAATGTGAGCGCAAGTAAAACCATTCAAATCAATTGCCGTCAAAACCGCGCGATTGTTCTGTCGCATTTTCAAGAAAAGTTTCACAACGTCCGGATAGTCATTCTAGAAGTTTCATTAATATTAGTAAGAGTCCGTTTTTCCAATACCAGCCTTTGATTACCTTCAGTTGACCGAATTCACAAAATTACTTAACTTACTGCTTTTCAAATGAATAAAAATTGGAAAATCGGCTGCGAGAAGTTGGGGTTTTGTGCAAAATTTTTTAAATCGGAAGAAAAAATAACGTATAAGCTCATAATTTTCCTAAACACGACTTTCAAGGGAAACTAAATAAAGAGTTGAAATAAAATTAGTCGAGCTGCTGTAGATTGGTACGAGCGACAAACCTCAGCAGCTAAATGCAGTGGTGTCTGTCCCTTATCGTCGCGTGCATTTGGATTTGCACCAAGCGCAAGAAGTCTTTGTGCCACTTCCAACTGGCCATATCGTGCGGCAAAATGCAATGCAGTCTGGTTATCCAGTGTTATTGCTTCCACAGCAGCTCCATGATCCTGTATCAGTACAGTTACCACTTTTACGTGACCATTTTGAGCGGCTAAATGTAGTGGCGCTTCACCGGTCTTCGATTTACTGCAATATATTTTAGGTCAATGCTCACACACGCAACATCGTGAAAAATGTAGGTATTCGGAAATAGCCCAGGTAAATAGCACTTTGCCTACAGCAACCACTCGCTCTGCTGCTATTCCAGGCTCTTCAGTTCCGGGCTACAGGGTCCCCTTCCCTCCTCCACCTACCTGCTTGAAAAAGTTATATCCGATCAAGGGTCATGTTGCTCGGTAGCGATTGTCTTGATATTCCTGATATAAACAATGGAGAGTTTCGCTAAATTTTGGTCAGTAACAATAATGACAACCGAATAATCAAGTTTTAAAACCTGTTTACAAATGCTTTATTTTTTAGCAGTAAATCTGTAAGCTCGAGATGGCCATTAGCAGCAGCTAGATGGAGAGCCGTTCGGCCGTTTTCATCGAAAACATCAACCCGAGCATGATGCTGGAGCAGAATCCGCGCAACACCGAGATGACCGAGCGCACATGCTTCCATCAGTGGTGACCAGCCAGCCTATAGAAATAAGTCATTTATTCTCTCTTACGCTCCGTTTTGCAACATGTACAGTGCTTTTGTAGTTCAAAAATCCAGATTTTTTAGAGGAAGGAAATATGGTACACGCACCAAAAAAATTGCGAAGAATATTTGGATCATTCGTAAAATTCATAAACTGATTCTCAAGTTTTCAACTAATTCCACGTCTACTAAATTGACAGTCTTACGGTTGCTCTGACCAGCGCCACTTCATTTGCTGACGATCAGGATAACCTTTTTTTTCGCCGTGTTTACTACTGCAAAAGAATATTGTCACCCACCTTACTCTGCTTATTTTGAACGATCTGTACGGCACCGGCACCGATTTTGGCGACGATAGCAAGCAGAGCAGTTTCGTTACCAGCACGAGCCGCCAGATGCATTGCTGTTTCTTGGTTCTAAATACGTCATTTTTAAACTTTTGTGCTGCATGTAATTTTGTCCAAGCGGTGAACTACGGCCAAGTTAACACAAAGTGCGTTCTGAGACAGCAGTTGCTTCATGGAGAGAAGGCATTGGTGGATGGTTCGTTCAAGAAGTTTTTGCGGCACAATTTGAAAACGGCTCAAGACTCTTAGCCTATTAGTACCAATTCCGCATTAAAATGAATAAATCCAATCGAAGGAAACTATTGTCCGAGCGTCTATAGCAGAACCAAGGAAGAAATGTAAGGGCTAAGCCAATGCAAGCAGCGATAGGCTATCATTAAAATATCACTATATTTCAAGTTTATTTTAAAAAAGCTAGTGCCACAACTCAAATGACATAAGTATGATACTTCCTTTAGGACTGTTGCAGTGCCCAGTAGTGTACAGTTCTAGTGATTGCACGGATTTTAAACCAACTGGAAAACCCGAAGGAGCGGTCACTGCTTTACCTCTGAGTGACCGGTCAAAGTTTACAGGAGAAGTCGACTGAAGAAAATGGCCGACTGTCAATTCGTCCCGCTTAACGATTAATAAACTGGAAAAAATGATAACTGTCACTTGTAGAGATGATAATTCAAG